AGACAATCTTCATCAAGCGTCACTAATCAGGTTTTTATATTTCTAATTGCTTTATATAGGAATATGCAAACCGATCTTTAACAAACTTACAGGTACATATCTTGTGGCAGCTGTAAAATATTACCCCATTCCTTATCTCATATTTGTTATAGTTTTAAAAAGTACAGGTTTTAAATTTTGTTTGTAATTAAATTTTCTCAATGTTACTTTCAGTTGACGAATTTCGCTAATCATATTGTACAAGTTTCATTTAGATTGATATATCCAACTTATTGAAATTTAAAACAGCTATCAGATATTCATTTTATAACATTTATTATCTGAACGATTCAATGACTGTTTTCAAATTATAATGTCGTTTTTATTGAACATTACTATAGATTCTTTTATTATATATGCTTTTCTTGCGTAGATAAAGAAATATGACCTCAGGTCAGAAGATGGAGAGACACTGAAAATCCGTTTTTTCGACATAAGAGGATTTGAAAGTGGAAGAGAGGCTGACAAAGAGCTTGAACTTTTAATAGATGGACGGCTACCTGAAAACTATCAAGTAAAGTGATCCCTAAAATCAATTGTCTTTCAATAAATATTTCATTCAATTTTGAGACGATATATTTAGTAACCTTTTTAATGTTTGGTTGTGATTCAATCGTATCAACAATTTGAAGATCAAATGGCATCAGCTCAGCTTTACTGGTGGAGGAATACCTCAAATGCGTTCGTGCATTATTTCTGGCAGGCACAGTCACACTTAAGTTAAAGCATTGATATTATGTAAGCTTGCTATGAACGAAGTCTTACATTGCTATGAACGAAGTCTCAGATGGGATCGAGCCAAAAGCGGAGCAAGACTAGTGGTGTGAACCAATATCAAAAGATACATGGATGCATTCGGAAGAACATGTTATACATCAAGCTCAACTTTTGTCAATGTTTTGTGAAACTGAAAGTAATACCCCTGTCCAAATAAATGTTCCTCTACAGTTACGTAAGATTTCCATCTAGCATGACATTCATATTGTGTTCCTAATTTTATTTGGTTGATCAATAAAATATCCCGCTTATTCAAATAATCGTTTTAAATTGACGCTTGTTTAATTTTGTTTCTTGAGAGCTAAAGGCTGTCTTTGCAAACAACCTGAAATTTCCCTTCAATTTAAATTTATTATGTTACCTTCTAGCGTCAATGCACTTGTTTCAAACTTCATAAACAATTTGTTGTTGTTGCTTTTGACTGTGGATAAGCGAGATTATTTTTATTGAGACGTGATCTTCAAACTTAGTAATTTATATGTATTTTGACTATCATCTTTTTATTAAATCTGAAAGACCAATATTGAGATTCATGGATAGTTCTTCAAATCAATTTCTATTTACTTGTCTTATTCGTCTTCCATGCTTCGTCGGGTTTTGCAGGTAATTGTCGTAGTGTTCTGGTCCCTCTTTACAATAAGGTAATGAAAAAGAAAATCTAAAAGAACATTTGGTTAGCTTTTTATACGAGTATTACTCTACGTGGTAATTCTGTTATATTAATTATATCAACTTTTATAATGTTAATGGCTATTTTTTAACATTTTGGTTAAAGGCTCAGTTTTTCACAATGTCTTGTTCACAGTAACTATGTGGTGCATTATTTAGCGGTTTCAACTCCCAATTAAGAATTTTATTGCATGCCGTTTTGCTTAATGTGGTTTCCTGTTTGTTTTGATGTCGCCAATGACAAGTATCCTTTCTAATTAGTTTTCCGAAATTTGTCCGACGCCCTCCCTATCCTTCTAGATCCATTCCTTTATTGGAATTTTTATCATGACGCCAGTCCGTGCTTTGCATTAAGCAATCCTCTGTTACAAGGCCTGATGCCTCTTGCAGTACAAGTAAACTTTGTTTGTTTGCTATTGAAATTACAGTGTGCCCAACCAAGGCCATGAAATAGTTATTGAACAGGTTAAAAAAAACATGTTTTCCTTTTGCCGTAGTTCCTTTCGATATTATAAAAGATCCTGTAACTCAATTTTTTATGGTTTTATATTATAAATATGATGCTCAAATCATGATTTTTCCATATTGTAAGTTCCAAAAAACATTATTTGTGAAGATATTACCGAATTAATCATTCATGTTAATAAAGGTATCTAATTAGAAATGTATTATCTATAAAGTCTTAGTCATTTTTTTCTCAATTAGAAATGAATGCATACATTTTAATGATTACATATAGATCAAATGGTGTCTAATATCTATCATAAAGAACTTTAACTGAATAAAACGAATTCTTCAGAATTAACCACATCATTTTTGGATCTTCATATTTCAGTCGATAACAATATTATCCACACACAAATCTTTAATAAGAAATATTACTTTGATTTTGGAATACTAAATTATCAACATTTAGATAGAGACGTATCCCATGCAACATTTGAAGAAGGAATATGTATGCCAGTTAATTTTTTTTTTCAGAGCCCAAACATTTCTGCGACTAGGTAATAGCTAGCCTGAATTGTATGGGAATGTGATTTAAAATGTGGCCCCTGTTTGATAATCTTCTTTTTTCTGATATTTTCAGGTTTCCATCCGATCTTACATTCATTGTTAAATTGGAATTTCAGGTTCTAAACCCATGTAGGTTTGTCATAAAATTTGTCCACATAATGTGAAAAACTTCCATACATTTACTCAGATGTTTCCCCATCCAAGGAATTTGTTCGCCAAGATAATCGCGCTGTGTTATCTGTCAATGTAATATTTTCTTATCCAATTGTTCAAATATTCCACATTTAAGATAAAATGCCTGAAGCTGTTTGTTATCCGCAGACGTTAGATTATGTACACCTTCTTAAATATCATTCGTCGCTAGTCACCGAGAGGTATGAAAGTGTAATATTGATGGTTCCATTTCTATGAACACATCTATAGATGTTTTACAATTTGTTTTTATTTTACGATATTTTATATCTAAAACCTGACTTCTCATTAGTCTACAGCGGAAAGAACTTGCAAATAAACCTCTTCACATCTTAAGTTACATGATCAATTAAAGTGAGCCTGCAACATTATTCAAATTGCCGTATAGATAGAGTTTTTAAAGCTGTTGAGCATGTATATTTTTTATATAATTTATATATTTTAGTTTTCAGACAAGTTCGATCCAGATGTTATCATTGAAGAAAGACATGAACCAACATTAAATGACCAAATGCATTTAATCTGCTTTGTAGAAGAAAATTCAGACTTTGATAAATATACTGATGAGCTTAAAGAGCAAATCAAAAGGATCAACCGTATTATCTCTAATAAAGGTATAATGTTACATAGAAATATTTTCACAATTGAAATTTACACTAACTAATTAACAAATTTTTGTTCAATATTAACTAATTAATAACTTCTTCAAACTTCCACAAACATCCAGAGAATATTACCTAATCAAAAGAAAGAAGAGACTTTTAAATTTTAAAAAGATTAAAATGACATGATATATTATCATGAATTAGATTTCATATTGCTAATTTAAGCACGTCCATCCTCCGATGGCACTATACCTTGCGTAGTATATGACTTCTTTTTGACTGTAAACAAATGGATATTGTCGCAAAAAACGAGCATACACTATTCCTATACGAACATTTTTGGTCTTTAATGTTGTCAATCCAACAACCGAAAACATCATAATTACCCGATTTCAACAAAATATTTGCCGACCAGGGGCTGAGGCAATAAAATAATAATATTCTTATCTCAAACTCAGATCTCGGGTATCTTATTGGTCAAAAACAAGCACATCATGTGTGAATTGACGAATGAAAATCCTGCAATTCGAGCTTGATCTCAGAAAAAGGTTTTATAACATTGGGGCCAGCTTAATATAACAGAACTTCTAATGGACCGTATATGACCACTAGCACAGAAACGCGACAGGAAGATTAGATTTTACTTTAACAGAGAAAAATAAGAGACTACAGAAACATGTTATAAAGATAAGCAAATAAAAAATAACATCCAACCAAACAAACTACCGAACATAAACCAGACTTAGTTGAAAAGGGAACCGATTGCACATTGATAAATAAGACCCATAAAAAATCAACGATAAACGATCAGGGGGGATAATGTGCATGTATGATGACCATCTCATGCACTGCACTTCCAAGAATTTCAATACAAATCAAGTCACTAAAAAATTAATAAGGAAACGTGTATCAAAGTGTCTAGTATGTTACCTTTGAAAAGTATAAAGTATCGACTTTTAATCTGACGTATTGACTGCTTTTCGAGCTGATTCTGTTATTTGTCAATATGACTACTGAAGGAGAAAACATATTGATTGTTGGATTAAAATAACAGATGAATTATAAATATTTATGTTTCGATAGAAGTGCGTGTTTGTAAAGAAATTGAGTTGTTGTCTTGAAGATCTGAATGTTTTTAGTGTTTCTGTAGGATCAACGGCAATGACAGTCTTTGAAACATGAGAACGAAGATCGACAAAGAAAGGCATCATTCAATAAATGCATTGAAAACTAAAGAAAGGGTCGTTAATAAATGTGTCTTGATTGTTAATCGTCGCGTAGAAGTTTCCAAGAAAAAATGTTGTGCAGATATTGTATCGTAAATATCTAATAGAGATCATGCATAAACTGGAACAGTCAAGGACCGATCAGTATAATTATGATTGAAAGGGTCAAGAATTGTTCTTTATTATTGAATACCGTCAAATCTGGAAGTTGAAGCAATATTGACGTCAAACATCTGCGCGATAGGCAGTTTGTTGTCATTGTCTTTGTTTTTTTTTAATTATCCATTGAGAAAAGAAAAATAAAAGCTGGTTATAGAGTTAATTGTTTTTCTGATCTCTACATCATGTTCTACTTTTTACCATTTTGTATTTAATGCGTCGCTTTGGAATTGTAACAAAATATCGCAATAATCAAGAAAGGTTTGAGCCATTTCGTATATGCTATTTAATTTGTTATATTTCTCTTTTAGGATTGCCGATGGTTGTAATTGCAACAAAATTTGACAAGCTTTGTCCGAAGATATCAAAGAATGTTGATCATCTTTTCAAAAGTCCAAAAGCTAAACAGGCAGTCGCCAATATCGCTAGCTTCCATGGAGTAAATTCAAATCAAGTGTTTCCTGTGGTGAATTATATTGATGAAGAAGAGCGCCTACACACAAAAGATCAGTTGGCGTTGAAAGCTGTCTATAGGATTTATAAATTAATAGAGGGTTACTTAACACATCATCCAGGTTCTATACTATAAATATTTATACTCATAACTTAGTAATTTAGTTATGCATATCAACATTTTTGAATTTCGTGCTGGCAGGTGGACAGGACATGCTTGTATTTGACAATACATGTTGTTTTTAGACATTGATAACCTTAAAAACCGGCATAGCTTGCACAAATAGATATCCATATCGGTAGCCCATTGCAAAAATATACTAAAACGGCACTCATTTAGACATAAAAGGGCCTGTCATAGCCGGAAACAAACTAGCGATGAAAATTCATGAAAATAATGTTCATTCGCAAGCGCAAGGATTTACGTACGCGTAAATGGCCTTGAAGGAAACAAAATCCTACCTTGTTGAAAATTTAAATGGAAGAGTTACGAAACGGAAATTCTATTACGTCAATACTATTTTGATATGACTGGTACGCTTAATTCAATGCCTTTGAGTAAGAAAACCAATGGTTGTAATTTGACACGATTCTTATTGATATATAGACAGTAATGACACGTGCGTAAATGTTCCATCATATTGTTTTGGTCGTTCTTATTTATATTTCGATTATCCGATATATAAACTTATGATAAGGAAATGCAATATTAATAAAGCCCAAAATTTGAGCTTAAATGTAGCTGATTAGGCATAAACGGCACCAGAACTGGTACCAAATATCAACCAATAAAAAAGCATATGTTAGAGCCCGCTTACTATATTAAATGCACCTATTGAAGTTTAAGAAGTCAGAACAATATCCGCGCAGCCCTTTCCTGTGAAATCATTATTTGAATGAATAACCCGGCACGGGTTATATTTCCTATTATTTTTTATCACATGTGACCTTTTTCTTTTTCAATCTCTAACCATGACACAATAATACAGAAAATATGTATGTGATAAAAAATATGGTTGGTTCACAATCTAAAAACTTTTCGATAAAAACCAAAGAACATACCGAGGCGGTGGACAAGGCAACAGTCGATATTATTTATGTTGCAATATTCTAGCAGTGTTACATTTCGCTGTTTTTGCATCTTTGCTTTCCGTGAATGTGCAAAAGAGGATTCCGATATGGCTACACATTGAGTAACACGGAAAAAAGAGCAACTTACATAATGAAAAATCGCAAAAAATGAAATACAATTGTTTTTGTTTTATTTGTTTCAGAAGATTGTTTTATGTAACTTAAGTAACAAAAACTTTGTATATTTCAGATAGGAAAATACGCCCTGACCATTGGAAAGCTCGTGAAGGTGTGTTGCCTGACTGGGTATATAACATGTTTTCTTTTCAGTAATAGAATTGACATAATATTGAGATTGACAGAGAAAGTATACATATATTTATTATAGTAAATCTTTGTAATTGATTGATAAGATACTGTAATGTAATTTGACGATCATTGATGCTGAATTTTGATATTATGATAAATTACTGACATCGAATATAACGCGACAAAAACACATAGACATACTAATAGATGGCATAGAAATTCTTAACACTAGATGTTGTTCAGAAAAAAAAAATATTTAAGCAAGTATATTGCTTATTAGGTTTTACAAAGATAAGCCTAGAACTTATGCTTTTTCTTGTAACTTTGCCTTATTTTGCGTTACTGCCCGCCCACTGTTTAGCTTTTAATTATGCTGATATAATAAGGTTTTCATTATTTCATCAGATGCAATAAATGAATATTTAAATAGATAGATAAATAGAAAATGTACTTTTCACTCGTCCTGAGTAAACGTTAACATATATCTTAATACTCTATTGGTAACGGAATTTTTATGGTTTGCATATAAAACTTGATTCAATCTAATATGATATTTATCCTTTTGATATATAAAAATCCATATAAGTTGTTAAGTTAGTATGCTCTTTGGCAAACTTGCTATAAGAACAACAATTATCTTTTTCAGACTGATGATGCTGAAAAAAGAAATCTTGTGAGTGAGAAATTGACACCCTTTGATGATATGAACCTACGGATCCTGTTAGTTGGTCCTGTTGATAGTGGTAAATCGAGTTTTATCGATTCGGTTCATTCTGCGCTTTGTGGTAAAATTGCTTGGGATGCCAGCATTATGAATGCGAGGGCAAAGACCGATCATATTTTATCTACAACAGAAAAGGTATCATAACTTATTATACATATGGAGTTTTTCTTGAATGTTGTACTTAGCTTAAACATATTCGTGCATAAATTATATAATCAGAATACAAGTAAGGGTGTTAGTATATATGGTATGAAAATATGAGTATATAAATTTTGTTAGTTTATGAAACATTTATGTAATACCAGATACTGTATTCCTAGAAATTATGTCGCGCTTTTTAAGTTAGCGCTTCGCGGAGGATACTTTCCGCTATTGTTTGTATCCGCAAAAAAAGTTGCAGGTAACAAAACCGCGAACATTTGTAGTTTCAACATCTTATATCATCATTATGCTATTATGAAGTTCTATGATGTACATAACTTTCCCTAGGCTTATTTAATACACAATTCAAGGTAAAACTTCCCTTTGCTAACCGGTCTTGCTGTTTGAAATATCCATGTTATTCTGATAATATAAAATCATATAAAACATGTTATATACAGTTTGAATAGTTTAAATGACGGTAAATTTACTTAAAAGGGATGGTGTTATTGTTTGTTACAAGTACAAAACATTTCTCTATGGATAAGCATTTACTGTTTATTTTTCTCGCTCGTGTCATTTTTTTTACCTTATGTCAATTGTATAATATGGCTAAAAGCATTGTAATGCTTAATTGCTAAATACATGTTGTTGTTGTTTTTGTTGTTGTTGTGTATTTATAACGGTAAGAATTTCTTTCATTCAAACAATGAATTGTTTCAGATAGTAAGATCAATCATAAATCACTCTTATTTTTGACCCGACATTATGATTTTAAATGCAAAATAGATGGATTTTCATTTTTCTGGTCGCAGAGAATTAAGTCAGAATGGCGTCTTATATCTTAAATAAAGATTGTCTTCTCCCCTAGCGACTAAATACCCGCGAATATCGCAGTCACTTTTTTTTTTGCGAACGTTCGTTTCGGCGAAAACGCTATCCTCATGAAAAATGCGAAATATTTTTTCCGCGAAAGTTTCTAGGAATACTGTAATCTAAAAATTCATTACCACATACAAATTCTTATTGATCATTGTTTATTCATTCTATAATGCAACAAGGCTTTTGAATGATGAACAATTTCATGAGAACAAATCTATAAGCTTGACTTAAGATATTTGAAATTTCTTTTAGCGCAATGTAACATTCGAGGAGAAAAAGAGTTTCGGAAACAAATATTATATTACTTTTTTATCACAAAGACAGGGAATAACTTATTTGAATATAAAATTATATCGTAGATTCCACAATGCGATAATATATCATCAATAACATCTCCCACTTTCCATTGTATATTTATGGATTGCTAGATATATGGCCTCGTTTATAGCTTGAGAAAGAAGAGCTTTCCCGAATAGATGAGTTTGGACATACTGAGTAATTCGGCGCACGTTTATGGGAACACATCAAATTATGATTATAACTGTAAAACACATTTGAGCAGATACTGATAGTCAAATTGACAAAAGCGATTTCCTATATCACGAATGAAAGGCTGACGATTTATTTTATAAATAGTATATCCAAAAAAATATGTTAATGACAAGTACCTGAGCTCTGGACATAGTTGTTTAAGACAATAAGTCTCATGTGTATGTTTTCTTTTCTATGTTATTCAAGTGAGCCTGGGAAATGTCCATTATTGACTCAAGGGGCATAATTTTGGTCAGTTTTGTAAAGATCAATAAGGCTATGCTATATGCTAAATATCTATTGTAGTTTCAAACAAATTTAAATGTGTCTTCCGTGTAAGTCTATATTAAATACAATTTATCCCTGGGGCGGGGCCAGTTTTGATCCAAGGAATCCTAAACCCTCTGTTCTGTAAGTCGTTTATGATATAATTTTATATTCAAATAAGTTATTCCCTGTCTTTTTGATCAAAAAGTAATAACCTCTACCAATTTCATATGTCATCAGGATGGTCATAAACAAGTAAACAATGAATCGACGCAAATGACATCACGTTTATTGTTTCGTTCACATATGTGTTCACAATCTTAATGCTATAGATATATTGCTATGATAAGTGTCTCACTGTAGTTATTAACGTTGATGTCATTGGCGTCGATTCATTGTTTACTAGTTCATGAGCATGCCGGGGGATATTTGAAACTGGTGGAGGCTAAACTAAATTTAAGACATTAATCATATTAAGATTATTTATTGTTAAAATGTCCAAAAATATATAATGTTCTTTGCCAGGAATTTGACCCATGATTTATCAAGCCTTTATACACAATTGTCCTCGAACCTTGTAGACTTGATACTATTGACAACATGGTGATTAATTTCTACTCCTATTGCTGCCTTGTATTTACCTCTAAATAACACATATTAACCACTCAATAACCTTATCATGAAACCTTTATTTAGTTCAAGCTTTTCCCCGTTGATTATGTCGACAAAGATACAGGCGCAAAACGGAGGAGCGGTATACGTCTAGGTGATACACCTGGGTTTCAAGAACAAGATGGCATCAAAGAAGATCATGTCAATTCTATTATTAGTGGAAATGTTGCCGACGGCTATAAAGTTAGTAATAAGTTATTAAATCAGATAGATAAATGCAACATGAAACATCACATTATCAAATTCTGAATCAATAAACTACGAAATTTCCTGTAGTTTACTTTTACATAAAAAGGTGTAATAATATATATCAATCTTAACTTAAGCATGTACTAAAATATAGCCATTGTATTGTTTGAAAACGTTGTTATGTTGTTTTTTTCTGCATTGTTTACTTCCTTTTTATAACTGACATATTGAAAATTAATGTATTTTCACTAACTGCTTTTGTTTAATTCGCTCTCAAAATATCTCTCATTTCTAAACGTTGAGTTGTATAAGCTGTAAGTTTGATCTTGATTAAACGTGTTCAATCTGAGCAGTGTATAACATTTTGAAGCGCAAAAAATCTTCAGATGATGTTTAATTGCAATAATATATGATTTCTTTTTTTTCTTCTTTTCGAACTATGGATATCAGCTTGAGAGATTTTGATTATTACTGATAGAGTCATTATTATATGAAATTTATCCTTCAACTTACAAAATGTTGTGTAAAGAATCGAAGGTTCACAAAGAGTTACACCACACAGTCGCCGTAGCGCTGATATCCGGTAGGTATTTTGGTTGGCATGCAATATTGTTTTATTTTTCTGTTTAAGATAATTAATGCAATTCAAGATACACAAGAAGACTTGCAGAGGGACCAATCACCAGGTGACAAAATGCACTGCGTATGTTTTGTTTTCGACTGTGAGAAAGTACAAAAAGGCCTCCCAGAAAATATAAAAAGGTCAATGATTAAGTTGCGTTCGATAATTGTGGAAAAGGGTAATTATCTTTGCTTTGTATTACAAACCGATAATACCTTCTTAGTATCTAGACTTAAAATTGAAATAGAAAAAGAAATCTTATTTGAATACAACATAAACGCATTGTAATCTATTGATTACAGAACAGTTCAAAAATTTTGAATTATCAAATAATAATTCAAGTTTGAAAATGGCATGTTAAAACGAGTTCGGATAAATAAGACGTGCTCATAGTGAACTTTTATGATCCTCTCCGTCCACCATGTGTCGTCATGCGTCGTCTTCAATTTTTTAAACGACATCCCCTCTTAATTACTGCACATTGACTATGAAGGAATATTTCTTTGACGGTCCCATTTCAAGTTGTTTAAATGGTTCCGATTTTATGCAACAGTAGTTCACAGATCCAGAAAAAAAGTGTTTAAATGCAAATTCAAATATTTTCTTGTCAGAAAGTAAGCGACCCAGAGCTCTGATATTTGGTATATCATAAAATCTATAGGTCCTCCACTAACATTGTTCATTTTCTGTATCTGTTATATTTTTTCTAATATGTATATTGTGAAACGTAAAAACAAAATCTCTGAAATGTCATGGCTTGAGGTAAGATATTTAGCAAAAACATTGCTTTGTAGACTTCTACCAAGATTGCTCAAATTAGAGCCCTGGGTTCAAAATTAGCCTTGTACTGGGGACTCATTGATTTGTTTATCTTTATGTATATTTAGTAAAAGGTTTTCTTCCTGTCTAAAAGAAAAAGGCCCGGAGATTTGAAATTTGGTATACAATGTTTACAATATCATACATAGGTCTTGTATCAGTGGTATTCAAATTATGCCTCTAGTGTCAAAATTGGCCCCACCGATTCATAGTTTTTTCTTATATGTATATAGTTAAACTAATAACATATTTTTGTGTCAAATTGCAAAGGCTAAAGATAAGAATTTTGCTAGGAAGCATTGTATATGGACCTGTGCCTGGTATTTTCAAGTTAAAGCCCTGGGGTCAAAACTGACAATGTTTCCGAGTCATATGTTTTTTTCATAAAGTAAAAATAGAAAAACAAATTCTTCTTCTCTAAAATAGAAGACAAGAGCTTGGCCGAGTGTTTAACGCGTCGTACTAGTAATCTAATGCTCGCTAGCCGCATGGGTTAATATCCCGCCAAGGGCAAGCCGTTGTTTCCTTGAGCAAGAAACTTAACACGAATGACACGAACAGTACTGGTTGCTTCCAGGAACGAATCTATAAGCTTATAGCTTCCTACACAACCGAACTAAAATACATTCTGTATAAACAAGAGCTAAGATATTTGGCATGAAACATCATGTAGTAAACCTCTATCAGATTTATTCTAATGTTGCCTTTAGTGTCACAATTTCCCCTGGGGTCATAGGCTATCCTCTCTTGAATAATGTAGCAACTTAAAATTGTCTTTCTTTAGAATGACAAAGTTTAGAGTTTGGATATTTGGCATGGAACACTGTGTATAGATTTTTAGCAAGATTGTTCAAATAATAGCCCTCGGATCAAAACTGGCCCTTTCCCCTTGGCCATAGACTTGTTCTCATATAAATAAAGTAAAAATTAAAAAAATATATTCTTTTCTGAAAAGACAAAAATTTAAGCTTCGATATGTTGCACTGAAACTTTGCCTTATTTACCTCTAAAATATCTCTAGTGTCAAAACTGGCAACGCCCCCGAGATCATTGGTTCTGCGTATATGTTTATTGTGGAAAGGTAAAACAATTCTGCTCCTATGAAAGGTTTTAGATATTTGGCATGAAACATTGTTTGGCCGACATTTATAAGGTAATTTTAAGTTTTAGTAAAACAAATTGGGGTAATAGATTTTCCTTAAATTCATATACTTTATTTGTAGAACTTTTATGAATCTTTTTAAAAGATCTAAAGCTAAGATATTTGACATGAAAAATTGTCTAGTGAACCTCTATCGAAGTTGTTCAAATAATATCAATATAATTTTATTTAAAGTAGAAAGTTAAAATCAAATCTGCTCTATAAAATGACAGAGGCTAGTTTTACATATTTGGCATGAAACATTGTACAGTAGACCAGTACCAGGTTTGTTCAAATTAGTCTCTGATGTCAAGATTAGTGCTGGGCCCGGGTCAAAGAATTATTTTAAATACATATAGTAAAAATATTAAATATCTTCTCCCCTCACATGACAAGGTCTAGAGCAAAGATGTTTGCTGTTAAACATAATTTAGTAGAAGATTATCAAAGTTATTCAAATTCAACATCTAACGTTAAATTAGATCAACCCTTGGGATCTATGTATATTGTTAATACTTAAAGTGACAAAGGGAAGCCAATAGATATTGGAATGAACATTAAACAGTTCACCTCTACTAAATTCCTTCAAATTATAGCTTTGTGGTCAATATTGTCCCTGCCCGGGGGCATGAACGTTCATAACAAACATAGTAAAATACTAAAAAAGAAAATTATCTTCTCAAGCTTCAAAGGCTAGAGCTTGGATATTTGGCATAAACATGTGAACCTCTATGACTGTTGTTTTAATTATTGGCTAAAGTCAAAATAAGCCCCGCCCTTGGTGTCATGAAAATTCCTTATGTATATAACAAAATCTTTAAAAATGAGAATACTAGAGCTTCGATATTTGACATGAAATACTGTCTGGAAGACCTATATTTAGATTGTTTTTATTAAAACCTTTTTGGGTCGAATTTGGCCGTACCCAAGGGGTCACAAAAATTTGGGACACAAATTTAAACTTCAATATCAGCTAACCTTGATTTTGATAAGTGACGTCCTACTATGGCTTGCAACAAAAACATTTTGACCATGTGCATAGTTTCAGGTGTAGAACTGAAATCTGATATCAAATGATTAAATAATTACAGAGTGACATACTTTCTTGTCTTGATGTACAGCAGCTATGACATAAAATAGAACCATGTTAAAAGTATTTATAAAAAGTATATTTATATAATTTGCATGAGAAATGCATGGTCCAACATATTTCAAATTCTTGTAATTAACACTAGCTTTCACTGCTTTTATGCAAATTACAGTCTGTCCACATGAGAGAGCTTTAGGGCCAATGACCATCTTCATTAATTGCCTTCCGATCGTCCATTTGTAATGTTAATATGTATGATGTCTTATGTAAACTTTTCTCTTTAAATGTTCAGGTCATGGGCCTTACAATCACTTTGATAAGTCATTGTGTATCATGAGTCAAGAGAAGATTTTTTTCTTTCCCCAAAGAATCGTTTGTTCATTGGTTAAATAGAGAGAAATAAAAAATCCCCAAAGAACGCTCAAAACGACAAAATTGTTAATTTTGCAGAATAAACGTGTTTTCCTATGGACAAAACCTTATAAATATCAGTCTTTGTTTGTGAAAAGGTACACTGTTTCCTTATCCGGTCTTATGTCAGCAATACATCTAGCAGTTTTTACGAGTTATGTATTCAATTTACCGGCGTATTGTTTCACAATTTAACTGAACTTATATGATCAGAGCATAATTTGCTTTAAAAGAGGAAAATCTCATTATTGATTTACCAAACTATTATATTTGCTATATACACAGAGGACGTATTTGGTATGTGTCACGATCTGATGTCTATGACATATTATTCTCCATTTGCAATATCTAAAATAAGAATGTCTTGCACTCTTACCAATGCATCATAAAAATTATATTAGGGGAAAAGAACCGTTTTATTTTGATATTATTGAATAAAGTCATGACACTTTGTCAAACATAAAAATAAATTACAGCTTGTCCGCATATAGTGCTTTTAACAAAATGCGACAAAGTAAGCGATTCCTTGAAAACGAGCAGACAGAGGATTTTTGAAGACGGAAATGTACGGGAGTGCAAGGAAATACTCAAGAAAGAGTTCCTGTTTAAACAACAACAGATATATCCTATAGTTAATTACGATGATCAAATTGATGTGGATAAACAAACTGATAGACTCATTTTAGGTATGTATGTCTTTTAAGCTCACTTTTGATGGGCAAGAATGAGGTTTAGGATCGTAGAATTCCGTAGCCTGTCGATCGTCTACATTAAGCTCGTTAACTCTCTGGTGGTAAAATCTTTTCCCGACCCAACTGTTCTTAAACTTGTTAAGTATGTTCTACATAGGAATTGCTCCTAGATGTTGGAACATGGGTTAATTCTTGGTCACATGAGCTAAAATATAAAATCTCGTGAACACCCTGGTGGCTATTGTTTCGGTCCAAATATCTTTAAAATGGTCATAAATGTTATATTGATGATGTACAAATATTCTGAAAAGTTGTAGATCTAGAAGTTTGTTGTTTGTTTGTCTGGAAAAAGTGGTCCCTCGGAAATATATTAAAAACAGCAAATTAAAGTTACATGAAAATTGTAGACTCAGTTTGATTAAGTCTGTACATAATGAAAAAATTTAAAAAAATGCAACATCTCTTACACGCCCTATCACCGGTTTGAGCGGTATTTAAGTAACACTGGATACCATAACCAAAATATGGAACACGTGTTAAAACATTAGAAATAATATTTCTTATAAAATATCCTTAAAATGATTCAGACAGGTTTTTAAATGATTTCTAGCTTAGTAATACGCTCGAATATCGGTCATCTGGGTCACACAATAGGTCACACGGCACAGAATTTAAAAAAAAGAGTTTTATTCTCTAAAGGGTACTGTTTTGGTCCTACTACTATTTCAGTCCAAATATTTTGAAATAGGTCAGAATAAATGTTTAAATGATTTCTAGCTCTTGTTTAGATATTGGTCATATCAAAATGTTTGCTCACAAAACAAATGATTCTATATTTAACAAACACATATCTAGCTCAGTCACTACGAACAACAAATTATTTACTTTTCTGTGCTAGTGTTTTATTTTTCATGACCGTACGTTTTTTGTTTGGTTGCAAAGAGGAATAAAAACATAAATTGTTGAATCATTAAATTAAACATCTTACAATGTTTCTTCTCTCTGAAACAATAGAGAAAGGCATAAACAGTTGGTGAACTACAGCTTAGTTTGTGCCATTTTATACTACTTTTCCTTGCGAGTAAACAATTGAAATGCAAGCTTCACAACATTACTTATGTATCTTACTGGTAGTTATCTGATAATATGTGGGTCTACAAAACTCAAGATTTTCTCGATGTAACAAAATAAATGTATAGCAGACCACCATTTGAAATCTATGTAACGTGTGGGTTCCCTTTCACGTCCTACAAATATGGCTTTTTGGGGCTCGAGTAAAGGTTAAAAAACAACTGAACAACGGAAAAGGCATTGCATTGTCATAACAGAATTCGTTTAGACATCTTTTTTAAACTTGAAATAAAATGCTTAAATAATAAAAGGCAAATAAAAGGCAAAATGTAATGCTCAATGCATATAAAAAACGCTAAAAAAACTTGTCTGTACGACATAAACATGATCGGTTTGATATTTTTCAGCGGCTTTCTTTGAAATCCTTGACCTTCGAAAGAAACCTATGGAAAGTGCTGAGGGACAAGGAGAGGAATGAAAATTATTGGTGTTACAACAGAAAGACCGCACAATATTACTTAAGTTTATACATACACATATAATTATATATATAAAAAGAAGATCGATATCTTGTGTGGTTCTCGTGTATAAAAAAAGTATGTTTTGGGAAATGCAGAGTACAAAGTTCGTTAATTTTTTATACGTTTATTTCTGTTAGCGCTTTCAAATGTTTTTACATATCTTCAGACAGTAACGTATAATATAATCATAACAAATATAACAATGACGTAACGTTATAAAAGTGCGGGAAACGTAAAAATACGACGTTGCGCTGCAAATGATATATTCTGTTACTCTCTATATAAGAAGTATTGAATTGCTACAAAAATACACAGGGTAAATATTCTATAGAGGGAGTTAATAAATAAGTATTAAAATTCAAAACATTGACTAATTATAGAAGTAGATACAACGTTTGCATTACTAATAAATACTTTCTAGGAAATAAATATGTTTTAAAATTAAAATCATTGACTTATCATAGACGTTAATGTAAAATTTATATTACTTTTTTAAGTACTGTTTTATATGAATTAGCTAAACGAGTAAAAAGAAGTCAGAAAGAAAGTAACTTAAAACCATGTGGAAATGTAAAATAATTGTTATACATAAATACCCAAGTTTATTGTAGAACAGATATCTATAGTGGCTTAAATATGCTTATAAAAATAATTATTTTTCATCTCTGAAATGATCATCAATCTCCAGAACTTTATACAGGGGAAATATATTAAACTTTCCCACTGAACACTCATGTAGATGTTTATTCACCTTAAGAAAACGAAGTGATTCTGTATTAGTTTGTTGTCTATGTAAATTCATTCGTAAGTTTAATTCATTTCTAGTTTGCCCAATATAAAATTGTTAACAATTTGGACAAATAATACTATATATTACATTTTTAGTTAAACAGGTCATACTTTGTTTTACTGTGAAATTTTTGCCATTTGTAAACTGAATTGTGTTACCTTCGATAATTGAAGGACATGTCTTACACCTGGTTCGGTTACATTTTATTACAGACGGAATGTCCACTTTCATATCAAATCTGGAGGGTGATAAAATTTGTTTTAAGTTTTTCGGCTGTCTTTTACTGTTTATTATTCTTTTCTTTTGTAATATATTTTTCATTCTTTCACTCTTTTGTAGAATTGTTTTACAAGAATTTATAACTGGGAACATGTTTGTTTTTCTGGGATTGTGTGTTGAAACGAAAGGGATAACATTATGAGTGGAAGTACGAGTGTCTTGGCGATCAGTGGTCTTAATGGGTCCCTTAGATATAGCCTGCTCTATTCCATGTTGTATCAGTACATCTGGATAATTCTGTTGTTGTTTTAACTGTAATTTCAATTCTGTTAGACGCTTTTCTTGTAAGCCTTTTTTCACGATAGTAATGCTTCTTGGCGCTAAAATGTTAACTTTAGTATGCTTAATGATCTAAATAGTTGTGTGTATCTGTAGGTTTACAGTATAAATCTGTAGAAATGTTATTTCCCGACTTCATAAACAGGAATATCCAAAAATGCCATCGCAGTTTTACTTTCATTATACTTTGATGCAACTTATTAAATTCGTTTAAAAAATCAGACGTGTCAATTTCTTTGGAAGAATTAAAAAGCAATCGTCAAGAAATCTCTTCCAGTTAAGTCTTAAATAGCTTGAAAATTCATTGTTGTATTTAGTTTTCATCCTTTCATTTCTTCTAAATATCCGAGGACTAAGGTAGCGTTAGTTGGAGTGATAATAGTACTCATAGCTGCGCCTTTTTTCTGGATAAAGTATTTTCCGTCGAAGTAGAATACGTTGCTGTATAAAATAAGTTTTAGCGATTTTGTTATGAAATTATGTTGAAATCGTTTGTCTATCTTTTCTGGCATTTTTTCCATCCAGAATATCATAGCTTTCAGTCCAAGATCGTGGGGATTATTGGAATACAAGTTTACTACATCGAAAGTGACTAGTTTAGATTCATTATCTTCTAGGTGTTCTGGTAAATATTTCAGAAAGTCTAAATCATCTCTAGTAAAACTAGGAACACATTTACATAGAGGTTTAAGAATTATGTCTAATATTAGGCTGAGTTTTTGTGTTATGCTATTAGGTCCTCCACAAATAGGTCTAAAAGGTAAATCGTTAGGATCACAAGCTTTCAGATATTCTGACTGTTGTTCGTTCAATGAATCAGCAATTGTTTTACTTTTGTGAATTTTTTGGTAAACCATAGAAATAACTTGTTGTGTGTTCAAAATTTGTTAGATAGTCAGACTCTTCTTTAAGTGTTTATTTGCCTTTTTTTTCATAGTACACACTTTATCGCCTACATTATTTGATCTAAGTTTAGATATTTGAAAACTAAGGATATTTTATATATATATATATATATATATATATATATATATATATATATATATATATATATATATATATATATATATATATATATATATATATTATATTATATATATATATATCTAAGTTTAGATATTTGAAAACTAAGGATATTATATATATATATATATATATATATATATAATGATACAAAGTGCCTAATACAATTATAATAGTTCATATTATGCCAATCTCTTTGTGCAAATTATAACATTTTTTTTCATCAATGTAACATAACACATATTTTTAAAAGAACTTTAATTTGATCACTCCAGAAGCATATCAATGAATGTTTTAGTATCTTCATCAAATTAAGTGTTAATTTGCTTTTTTTCATAGTACACACTTTATCGCCTACATTATTTGATCTAAGTTTAGATATTTGAAAACTAAGGATATTTCTTTTTACAATATTTTAGTATGTTATGTGCATTGTTTAGGCAGCTAATAACAATATTAAATGTTTCGAGTCCTAAGCTTGTACCATCATGGCGAAACAAATTAGAAACGTCATATAGGGTCTATTTGTTTCGTAAGTCAGTTCAAATCATATTGAAAATACTTTTGCTTTTTCAAGACATGCTATATTGCATGTTATTGCCATTCCGTCAGTGTTTTTAGAACCACTTTATTTCAGTAGTTTTTAACATGTTATAATAATCATTAAGCTGTATACTATGTTGCTTTTGAGTTTTGATATATAATTATTACTTTAATGTTTCCATTTTTATTTTAATGGTTTCGTTTGTGGCGTTTTGTTCAAAGTGGAGCATTTTTAAAAATAAATGTGGTATATATAAGATACAAATAAGCAAGACGTTTTCAGTTTTATTTTGTTTCTAAACAGTTTAACAGCACAATCGCATAGTATCTGATGTTTATATTTTTCTTTCACCATTGATAAATAAGGTAGTTAAACGCTCAAACATAAAACACTATTATACTTTAAGATAAGATATTCTTTGGTAGGCATGGTTGAAAGAACACTTTGTTATAAATTAATTTGAATGTTGAAAATAAAGTAGTAAACTCATATGATTTTAAATATGAAATAGATATATGAGTTAATGCAAGTTTAAATGTGTCAGGCAGTAAATGGTGGAGACTGTAAAACCATCATGAAAACCCTCTTCATATAATATTCAACTTCTGCTAAACACAAACAGTTTGTCACTATATTATGAAAAGTATATACAGTAAATCATTTAGTTTTCATACTTTGATTTGAAAAAAAATATCAGGATGTCTCTGGCTGATTTTTGTCATTTCGTGTTTTCGCACCGCGACCCCGCGAAGCGGAAAGTGAGAATTAACAAGTTAAAAAGCCGAAGTGGGAAACACGCTACTAAGCGGAGGGTGAGGTCACTTTGAGGGGGCGCAGAGCGATATTAAAGAAATAAAACGTTTGGAGTGCGGAGCGAAAACACACTTATTAATGGAGGCGCTGGGCGAAGTTTATTAAATAAAATGTCGCCCCTCGTCGGGGGCGGGGGAGCGAAAACACGCTTATTAACGAAGAAAGAAACGAGGTTTAATGAATGAATAAAACTTCAGGGTCGCGAAGGGAAAACACGCTCATTAGCGGGGTGAGGGGCGAAAAGTCAAGATTTTAACTTTTAAAACGGCGTAGGGGCGAAGCGAGAAAAAAAACGCTAATTAGCGGGTGTGCGGAGTGAAATGTAGAACTTTTGAAGATTTAATTTGGCGGTGGCACGAACAACAGCATGCTAATGAAAGTCCTATAACAATAACTATTTCGTTTCGCAGCCGTATTAAATTAAATCACAACTTTTCGCCCCGCACTGCCGCTAACTTGTGTGTTTTTGTGTGAAGGTAATCAAATCATGTCACTGAAATATTTAGTAATAAGCAAAAGTTGTGTAGTATGTTGTAAGTATATGATAAACATTCATGTACAAGAATAATAATTGTGTAAATGAATATTGCCTACTTGTTTTTGGTTTTGTTTCATTTTATATTATACGCTACGATAATCTGTTTATATGTACCATTAATTACTTATGCATTTGTTCTTATCTTTATGTTACAATATCTATCAACTCGAGGCAACTAAGTATGCCAGAAACTCTACCATAAAACCACCATAAAATTGTTAAATACGTAGATGCAGGTATGCAACTTTATCTTAAAAAATATCTACGGTAAAATTATTTGAAATACAAATATGCTGCATTATATTTCTCGGTCAATTTTCAAATGCCATGTTGAAGGAAATTTCGAATTCTTCATTAGTGCAAGAACGTATTGGAATGCATTGGCAGATTCGATTCAAAAAAAGAGTTTAAACAAAAATTTTAAAAATACTGTGGAACATGGCCAATACACAGTAGGTTTCTTCTTTAAGGTTGCTCTATACTGTCCAGTAATACCGTATTATTCCGAGTAATTATCAGTTACAAATTAATGATGATCTGTCCCTTATAATCATGGCAAACAGTTGAATACAATTATTTGTTTATAGGAAGGTATAATCAAAATAAAAATATATTGCTTTTCTTGGGCAGAGGGGTGAGGAGTATTGGTATTAAGTTCAGTAAACAAATGATGCCTTCTGTAGTTTTGCTT